TGAGATAGTTGTTTGTTCTTAGTATTTTATAGCACTGAATGTTTCAGCTCTTGACATTGTGCCCTTTTAAATAGAAGTTGAATTGGCTGCTTATGGGCCCACAACACAATTTGAATATGTTTGTTCAACCTTATGCTTATGTATCAAGGAGAATAAATAAATAAAATGTAACTAGTGAGTCTTAATTTATTAAGTTTGCCGTGTATTGCTTTCTGATATAAGGTGAATAGATCATTGCCTTCAGGGGAGTATGGAGCTTGAAAACCATTCTGGTGGTTAGATTATTATGACTGTTACTTTTCTTTGCTTTCTTGAATTGCATGCTCTTGCTGAGCCAGAAGATTCCTTTGTGGACTTTGTGTGTGAAGTTTGGAAAATGGATATAAAATTCAAGAAGATGCTACGGTCCCGTTACGGAACCATTCCGTCGAGATTTGTGACCGTTAGATCAACTATCTCTGACGGTTACATGATGATCTAACGGTTACAAATTCTGACGGCATGCATGGTTCCGTTACGGAACCTTAAAATTCAAGCATCTTCTCTCTCTCTCTCTCTCTCTCTCTCTCTCTCTTTTTCTCTCTCTCTCTCTCTCGTGTGTGTGTGTGTGTGTGTGTGCGTTGAGCTCGACTAAGTAGAGGGCGGCTGTTATAGTTAAATTGGTTAGGACCATCTTGGTATGTCTGTTTGTGAACCCGCGGTAATAATATAGTGTTTCCTTTTACCACTATAGGTGTCAGAATTTGTGTTCAATAAGATTTCCATATAGATTAGGTGATGATCAAGTAGTTAATTATGGATTTCTAGAACTTAGCACTGGTTCACTAGCTGAACAGAACACAACTATACTATTATATTGCACCAGTATTTGTTTTTATGATACAAATTACTAAATTGGCATCAAAATACTCTGTCGAAACTCATCTGTTTCGAGAGCTCTTCCGACCTACTTCCAGTTTTCGTAATGAGCTGTAAATTTTTAGCTCTCTATATTTAATAATAAAACAGCAAAATATTTGTTTATTTGATTTTCATTTTGCTCGCTATACTCCTCAACCTAAGGCCCTTCCCCTCAAATTTTTACTCGAAGTTCCGTTTAGCCCATTTGATGATATGGGTATGGCCCCGCGTACATGGTCATAAACCATCCCTTCGCTGTCATTATGTAAATTTCATGTTTTTACGCATGGTGTAAATTTAAAGTCTCACCATGTCCCCGTAAAATTGATTATTTTTACTTTTATTTCACTTTCGTCACATCCTCTAATACAAATCGTGTTTCATCTCGTACTCGACATTGTGCATGGGCAGGATATTTTTGTGCTTCTTCTTCAACTTTTGTGTCTATAATTTTCTGTATTTGTAAGCAAACTTTCTGTTTTGTGTAGGTGAAGTGCCTGCTTCTTATTTATTTTCTTTGACAAAAATTCCCTTCTTCTGCTGCTAGCACTCATACTCTTTTACGTATTACAATCAAACGATTAGGTAAAAACATACGAGAAAATGATGCAGCAAAAAAGAAGCCCTGTTTCTGCTGATCAAAGCAGCTTTATGGACTTGATGCCGAAAAGACTAAAGACTGATGCACCTCTAACATCCAAGGTTAGTTTTCTCATCTCTAAAATAAGTTGACTTGACTTTGCATATTTTGTAATATTGGAGTTACTCATTTCTAAATTCTCTTCTCAAATTGGATCTAAGTTGAACCCGTGTTCGGCCCATTTGCGTTTTAAATTTGTGTTCCTTTATTAATCAATGAATAAGTTTGAATTGTTCTTAAGTTGCTACATTCGAACATAGATTTGACGAATGCCGGCCTTTGTTTTCACAATAGCTCCTTTGATTTCCACAATGTTGGTCTACTATCCTCTGTAGATATTAGAACTTGATGTTTCTATGCATGTTTTTCATCTAATCATGTGAAGTTTAAATTTTTCTTGGGGAACAGGAGAAGAAAGAGAAGATTAGTGAACGGATTTCTGCCCTTCAACAGCTGGTCTCGCCTTATGGAAAGGTATAATCCTGAAACTTACGATACATTTTGACATTGTGTACAGAAATCATCAAAAAAACGAATTGAGAAATTGTCTTTCTTATTAGTCTACTTTGTCTGTTACACTTGCTTCAGACAGATACAGCTTCAGTCCTTCTGGAGGCCATGGACTACATAAGTTTCCTTCACGAGCAAGTTAAGGTACAAATCCTTCTGATCCTTGTTACTCACTCAACCACAGGATAAATGATTCAAATAACTGGTCGACCATTATTTATTAATGTCAGCCATATAAATTTGCAATGAATACACGCATAAAGCAAAAATGCTATCTTACTAAGTAGAATTAGCCACGGGCCTTATATACTTACATTTCTTATTTCGTTTCGGCCTATTCAGGTATTGAGTGCTCCATACTTATGCAGTACACCGACACCGACTGAGGTATGCATTAATAACTGAATACGTTCGTAATGCACTTCACTTGGAATGTCACGTTTGAGAAAATAACATGAAGGTGCAAAATATACTTATGGAATTTACTTGGGTAAAACAAAAGCAAACGTCTTGTATTTTTGCAAAATATATTTTAGTGGTATTAGTTATTTTTCATCAATAAATAATGGCTTATCTAATACAAAATGCTGTGTTTAGTCTTTTGGTCCGGTTCTCGAGCATATAAATGCAAATGACTGAGTACCGTTATCTGCTTTTGATGTGTTTTTACTGTAGGAGGGGAAGGAAGCGTACAGCCTGAAAGCCAAAGGTCTATGTCTCGTCCCGATTTCATTAACTGTTGGGGTCGTGAGCAGCAATGGTGCTGACATATGGGCTCCCATTAAAACCACTCCACCCAATAACTCGACAAAGTTGTGGGACGAGACGTCTGTTGTAACACAGAGCTGACTGGGACGATGCCTCTGTGGTAACACATAATAGCTGACTTGTAGTTTTATTTTTAAAGAAGAAATAGGGCGGGATGTGTTATGAGAACTCTTGCCTTGTTTCGAAAATAATAGTTTTTTTGGCTCATGAAGTTTATTTCTCGTTGAGCCAAAATGATCGGTGTTTTTGGGTGGGTATTTAATGGTACGAGATGAATAGCGTTGCGTTTAGAGGCAACCGAATTTGTAAATCGAACTAATTGAAAGATTTTATACTTTTAGCCATGGTGCGTTATGAGAATAGTAGATGGAATAAATAGCATTTGTCCATGGAGTTATCTTTTTTACTTCTGGTTACGATGCTTTGAAGGGTCTCTGTCTTTCGTGTGTGTGTGTGTGTGTGCGCGCGCTTTTACGCTCCTTGCATTTGATTTGCAGTTGTCTTCCACAATTCGGATCCTTGCGTTTGTATCTAAGGTAGTTTTCGAAGTCCTTTCCGGTAATCTTCAAAACCCGCCTCCGATTGACGAAGGGTGATTTAATTTCTTATACTTGGATGATCACCAACTTTGTGTCAACCATCAATTAGTTTAATAATTGTACGAGAATTTTTAAGAGCATGTTTGTTTATGGAAATTTTCAAAAAAAAATTTGTAACATTTTAACTCAACTACTTTTTTTAATTCAACTTTAACTCAACCTCACTATCATCTATATTATCAATATAATTAAATAATATCAATCAATCATTCATGCACACTGCATCAACCTTAATTTACTATTTATCCACTCACATAATTTTAACTAACAATCACATCAAACTATCTCTCTCATACTTTTACATCAAATTATTTTAATTATTCTATTTTAAATATTATTTTAATATACTCACTTACAACTAACCATACCATCTTTTTTCAAAATTAATCAAACCAAGTCAAAAAGTCCAAACAAAACAAAAAATTTCTATAAACAAACTCATCATAAGTGCCTTTAAAGAGCAAATGAAAGTAGTCGCAGGCCCTTTAATGGTCTCAATATTTTGACTTTTCTAAAAATAATAGACCGAAGAAGAAGACCACCAAAAATAAAAAATTATCTTTCACTTTAATGGTTCACTACAAAAAATTATCATATTCCAACCGAAAATTTGACGGTAATACATTCTAATGGAAATTCTAACGGATATTCCAATGGTATGTATAGCTTCTATTGGAATAATTCTAACAGAAATACTCCGTTGGAGTGAGTTTTTTTATTGGAATTTGAGATGAACTTTGATTATTTCAACGGTAATTTTTTCAATGGTTTATTACTGTAAGAATTTTCGTTGGAATATACAAATTCCGTTGAAATTTTTATTTTCACTCATATTTTAATCGTTGCAAAATCTATCGTTAGAATCGTCAAAAATCCAACGAAAATTTCAATTGAAAACTCATTGCAACAGAAATTTTTTGTTGGAAATTTAAGTTTGTATCCATTAAAAAATTCAAATAGAAATAATAATATTGGAATATCCTTAGAATTTTCTTTGAAGTCCCTTTGACTTTTATTTCCATTAGAGTTTTATCATTTTTTTGTTGTGATTTTATTGTAAAATATATTACATAACTTTTCTAAAATATAAATCCAATACAGACATGCGACTGTTAATTAGAACTTTTACTAAAAATGAGTCGCTATCAATTTTATGGTTCAGTTATATATGTGCACAAAGTGAGAATATAGTTAAGTATTATACTAGAATTAGTTGGAACTAAAAAAATAAAAGAAAACATAATAACTAAAATTTAAATTTAACAATTTCTAAAAGTTTCCATTTACATCTAAGTAACTAAAATTATATGTGTTCAAAATTTACAAAAATAAAATCAAATAAAAGAAAATCTAAGTAACTAAAATTTAAATTAACAATTTCTAAAAGTTTCCATTTACAATTGAAACAAAAATAAAATTGATTTAAATTACAATTGTAAATTTAAATTAACAACTTCTAAAATTTTCCATTTACATCTAACTAAAAAATCTAAGTAACTAAAATTTAAATTAGCAATCTTTAAAAGTTTCCATTTACATCTAAGTAACTAAAATTATATGTGTTCCAAATTAAAAAAAAAAAAATGTTGGTAAAATTAGTTGTTAAGTATTATACTAGAATTAGTTGGAATGACATTTATATATTTAAATATTTTTCTTATGTTACATTAATTATAATTTTGAAAAACAAAATATTATTTATATTTTTAAAATATGAAAAATGTGATTTATATTTTATTATGAGCAACAATTTTAATCAAACGTAAAATTGATTTTTTTTTTATTTTTTTTTTAAGATTGTGAGACGTATTGAAGAGAGTGTTGTATCATTTATGCCCCGATTATGAAATGAACAAAATGATAAATAAGGGCAATTAAGACTTAAAATTTCATCTTAGACCTTTGAAATCAAAACGCTAGGAAAAGCAGTTTTCATTCCAGCTGATATAGGATATTATACTAGACTGGGTTAATGGATAAAATGAATACATATTGGAGGATAAGCTCACGTATGGAGTAAGACATATAACATGATGATATGGGCCAGACCCAACTTGGGCCCAAAAGGTACACTCCCCCTATAAAAGGGGCTAAGGTATCACATTCTCTCATTCTCTATTCATGCCATACTACACTCTCTCTCTCTTGATCTGAGCACTGGCTTAGGCATCGGAGGCCCGACGCCGGGGTCACCTCCAGCGTTGGATTCTGCAGGTACGGAGGCCGTTCGAGTTGAAGGAGCCCGATTGAAATCTGTTTCACTTCACCAGCAGATTGGGCCAAAAAAGCTAATTGTAAAAGCTGTTTTTTTTTTCGAAACGATAGATATTATTATAATCAAAAGGCACAAATGTGCAAATACAGCCCATAGCTAAATAAGACCAACCAAAAACTGAGAGGACAAGTCATAAAACTGCCTAGAACCTCAACTAGCCAAGCTAGAATAAAAACAGACTCAAAACACTACCAACAACTAGAATCGCTCCCTACAGGAGAATAGGATCGGCCCCCATTGGGTAATCAACACAGGGGCCAACGGCCCACACCAAAAAGACAATACATAAAAACACTCAGGCCAAGAGCCCAAACCAAAAACACTTAACTAAAACATACTCAAGCAACAACAACAACAACAACAACAACAACAACAACAACAACAAAAAAAACAAAAAAAAACAAAAACAGGGCCCTTCCCCAGCCAAGAAACGAGCCCAAAACAGCGGAGAAACAATCGACCCAAGACGATCCCAAGCCTAAGGAACAACTCTAGAAACTGCGAAAATGCCTATACAGAAGCCGCACTAGAGCCCCGAACACATCTCGAATCAACCCACCTATAACCGAGAGAACAATACCAGCTCCCAACTCCAGCACTACCCAACCTCGTCTAACACCACTAGCTAAGCTCGGAAGCGCTGGACCCACCCAGTCCCCAACACCAGAGAACCGGAGGTGGGGAGAGCCATCCAATTCTGCAACATCGGCAACCCTGACGAAGGACGCCATAGCCGCTGGCGTCCCGACCCATCCGCAGACCCACTCACCACCCAAGGCACCGTAGACGACCGACAACCACCAAACCCCACCCGATGCCCCACCGAAGAAGAAGAGCAATCCAATGGGGACAACAATCCCCGACGGAACAGAGAGAGAGGAGCTTACCTTCATCTTCACCCGACACGAGCCACCGGAGTCCGTAGAAGGGGAAGCCGCTGCCAATCGCTGAACATCCGGCAACCGAAGGGCAGGCCACACGGAGATCGACAGCTGCACAAGCCGCGAGGCATCAGGATCAAGTCAGACGGTCAAAGGTGACCTCTGCCCAGGGCATCACCGTCGACGATGAAGGCGAAACGACGGCGAGAATGGGAGCTACCGGCGAACAGGGTTTGGGCGGCGACAGAAGGGAAAGTATGTAAAAGCTGTTTACCAAACATTTATTTTTGATTGAAAAAAAGTCAAACAACTAAATTGCTGAAAAAGCTCTTTTAATGCCAAAAAGTCGTTAAACAAACGCAGCCTACAAGATAATTCAATTTTGTTTAGGTTGTGAACTAATAATCATAATACAAGCCTGCAACAGGCAGTCCGAACCATTTCGCAATGTCTATATTCAGCCTAAAGAGACGCTCCAAGCCCAAAAGATTTCCTCGGCGACTCCGAGTACCCAACATGACAAAGCCTGGAACATGCACAACCAAGTCAAGAGGTTTGCAACCATTTCAAGAATCATGCGTCTGCGAAGCTCACCTAAAAAATCTGAAGGTTGGAGTAGTTTGTTAGAGATGATACCAAAATTGTCCAATGTAGGAATTGTTCACCAGCACAATCTGCTCCAGGGATCATGAGTCATTGGCAAGGGAAGTTGTTCCAAGCCTTGAAAACCGATTATAGGCTACGAAATATGTCATGAGGCCTACAGTGGAGAAGGTTGAGGATAATGGTCCGGAGGTGGAGTGATTGTTGACTTGGGGGAAAGGGATCCCACCAGGCCTCGGGATTGGAGGTTTGAGAAGACGACTCAGTCGGGATGCCTTTGGCCACACGTGATGCATGCGTTGACAGGTGCACGAGTGTATACATGGTTTGGTTCCATGAAACTGTCAAAGGAAATGTAACTTGTCATGTCTTTTTTTCTTTTCTTTTACGTTACGTGTATGTTTCGCATATTCAAAACCTACTTCATTTGTAAATATATGCTCGTGTGTGTGTGTGTGTGATTATAGCTAGGTGTGCAATTGTGCAAATGGATAGTTTGTTGACCATGTTTTGTTTTAGAAGTTAAACATAAGCGACTTGCAAAAGAAATGATAATTTGCAATGGTTTACCAAAGCCTTTAACTTTACTGCGGAGCCCATGCAATAAAAGATAGTCTGTTATGCGATTAGAAGTATATTTTTTTAATGAAATTAATTTGAGAAAAGTGAGTTAAGATTGAAAAAAATATGATTGGATGGCAACTTGGATTAAATTTTGAGTTTGTGAACGAATGAGTTAAAATATAATGATTTTAATTGATGTGAATAAATTAGTAAACTAATGATTTGTAATTAAAAAAATATAAGTAGATGAATAGTTAGTTTGTTAGAAAAATGTGTATCATTGAGTAGTGATATTATTTAATTTATATTAATAAATAGTAAATATGTACAATTTCAGCCTGAATTTTTTTTTGTAGGATAACCAATAACTATATAAAAATTTACAATTTCAACCCTAAATTACACAAGATTCCAAAGCCGATGCAATCAACAATCTTAAGTGAGACATAGGATCATGATTGAGATTCTTATATATTTACAAAATGTGTATTTGCATCCTGAGGACTAGATTTTTTAACAGTTACAACAGAATATTGAAAATCTTGCATTTTAGCTGATCATTTTGCCACCATTCTGGAGTTATATAACAAAATGTTAGTATGATAAAAGCTTCATAGGCTCCACTGTTTGAGTTAACGAATCAGTGACAAAAAATATTTAGACTGTGATGGAATGATTGTTCTATGATGTCCTCTCTTGAACTGGTTACTTATGTTTCAATCTTGATGAACTATTGTATTAGTTCCATGACAAGTACAGATGATTCGAATAACCAACAAATCTCATCTCACTTTTAGTTCCAAACAGTCGTTTTTAGTTTTAATTCACTATCTGCAAATTACAGTCATCCAAGATAAACCAAAAATCGAAGATTGCCAGAAAACTCAATGTCGAGTACTCAGAAATCTGAATCCCTACTTCGAGCTACTTGCCCCAATCGGCTGTAACATCATTACTCCACAAGAAGTATCTATGGGTGCGGTTGTTTCTCAACAGTAAACTCAACACATGTTCACTCTTGTTGCATAAGAAATACTTAATCGATAACAGAACACACAGACTCAAATCACATCTGCTAAAATAGGATACAAAGCAATAGGGATTTTACCTCAAGTCACTGCAAAATTGCTTACGTAGACAAAAGAATCAAGATTCACCAGCACCAGAGGCAGCATCTGCTGCTTTTTTCTCTCTTTGTTTTTCCCTCTTTTTCTTATTTTTTAGTGCATTCTTGCTCATTTCTCTGAAATTAACGCAGATGAGATTCAGTAACAAACCCCATAATACTTCAAATAAAGGGAAAAAGACTAAGTATTTATTACTTACCCAGAAGGGTTTACTCCAAACAGCTGTACACATGAGAAAATTTCACACATCAGCAATGTGATCAGAAAAAGGTTAGTTCACTATACATAACAGATATTGCAATTATAGATCTTAAATCTTGCTCCCAAAATGCCATCATAATTGTAATCAAAACCAAAAGAAATAACGGATAGCTTTTAAGTCATAACCAAGTGCTTTAATGAAAGGAACTAAGAGCTGTTATTCAAACTGAGTTCACGACACAGCTTGGTTTGACTTGTGAAAGCTCGAGCTCGACTCATTCGTTTACTTAAACAAAAGCTGAGATTGAAAAACTAATCGAACTCATTTGTTAAACGAGCCGAGCCAAAGTTGTTTGGGAACTTTTTTTTCTATTTCTTTTATGGGTTTTAAATAAAACAACCAAGAAGTACAGTTCGTGTTAGCGAACAACTCGTTTAGGATTTTGGGCTTATTAAGCAAGTTGAGGTGAACGCACTAAGCCTTTTGTTTGTTTATTAACGAGTACAAGCTCGAACATGAGGTACTCGACTCGGGTTGGCTCGAATAACATCCCTGCCAGGCTATATCCAGTTAACCGACAGTTTCAAAACCATAGCTCTCTAATCAACAAAACATAGATTCTATTGTTGTTCAATGAATCTGTGGAAAAGATATGTTCTCTTTCTTCAAGTATGAGTTCACATTTAACAATTTTAGAAATTGGTATGAAAGATGTTGCTTGCACTTTTGAAGGTTTATAAATTGGATATATACAGATATTATATATGTTATAACGGACAGAGTTTCTGTTTTCCACACTCAAGATCCATCCTTGTTTGCCAGTTATCAAATTTCTTTTCTCTGTTCATGCAGCTCATATTGTTTTTTATCGAACGTTTTGTGATCTTGAAATAGCATACCTCTGCCTGAGCTGCAGCAGCTGCTTTAGCATGGGGTGGACGATAAGCAGCAGGTTTCTGAGCAGATGGTGTGGATGCAGCAGCTTTTGAGTTGCCCTGAACAGCTTTTGACCCTTGTCCTGGGACATAGTGTTATTATTTTAGTTTTGCCTTTGGTTTGAGAATCCAACTCAGATCTTTTCGTTGTGAAAGAGTATTCAAATGGTTAACCTTGTTTTTTCGGTTCTTCCAATTTCAAGGAGTCGACAGATTTTGAAAGTTCTGAAATATCACCAAACTTGTCCGGCGACTCTGGTTTCCAGTCTACCTGTGTCGACCAAGAGGACACAACGGCACCTAAGCAAAGTGAATTGAATTCCAGGAAGAACAGAAATGAAGCCACTTACCTGGAACAACTTGTCAAACATCCTCTTGAAGTACAATGATCCATTGTGGCAAAATATTTTGATCCTTCAGAAGGGGAAAAATTGTCAAATCAATTCACAGAGTCCAAGTGGAGTACTTATCACCACTTTGATATATTAAAGAAACAAAAAAAAAAAAAAA